GATAAGGCAGGGAGGGGAAGGGCTTATGTACTGAACTTAGGTATTCTGTTAAAGTCTGTGTTGTCACCCCAGCACTGGCCTCCTTTACCTCACCTGGCAATTGACCAAGGCAGGTAAGGCATAGCCAGGCCATTAACCACGTGTGTCTGAGGTCTCAAGGGAGTGGAGGTGGTGGGAGGGAGTAAGACTGGGGAAGGGACTGGGGAGAGGGAAGGGAAAGCAGCCTTCAATGGATAGCAGCAATCCTGTCCCCACCCAGCTCACAGACAAAAGAGGGAGACAGATCCCCAACGTTCTCACAAAGGACCATAAGGTTCAGAGAAGACTTTACAATCACAGGACCCTCAGCTGTTGTCCTAGCATTTCTTCTCTTCCTGCCTTGTATGATCATTAGACAGAGTCAGTGTTCTGTTGCTGTTTTCTCCATCCATCAGGCAGAGACAAAGGAAGCATGTAAGCATGTTCTCCCAGACTTCTCTCTGAATTCTTTAGACATGAATCCACCTGACTGTGTCAAAAGAATGACACCCCCTAGCCATTCCCCAGGATTACAATTCAATACTTCCCTTTTATTTATTTGTTTATTTATTTGCAGTACTGGGGTTTGAACTCAGGGCCTATACACTGAGCCACTCTGCCAGCCCTTTCTTGTGATGGGTTTCTTGAGATAGGGTCTTGTGAACTATTTGCTCAGGCTGGCTTCAAACTGCAATCCTCCTGACCTCTTCCTCTTGAGTAGCTAGGATTACAGGTGTGAGCCACCGTTGCCCGGCGCATGCTCCCCTTTGAGTTGCACAGGAACTCTGGGCTGCACAGGTATACTAACCCCATGTTATAAATAATGAAAGCAAAGCCTAGTTGGTTAATGAGTTTGAACAGGACTATGCAGCTAGCACAGGGTGGAAGCTTCTTGGCTGTATACTTGGATGACTGCACTGATGAAACCCAGGAGTGCCTCTCCGTAGAGCGTGGTCCCCTCCGGTAGCACTGCAATTGCTTGTCTGCCTGTTTTCCTTCTTATCCTGAATACACTCACCTTGAGGGAGCCCCACACCTAGCACAATGACAGGTACAGAGAAGACACTCACCCCTGTGCCTGCTGAGTGCAAAGTGATGAGAACCCAGGCCTGGCGTCAGTCTCCAGACTCCAGGCCAGCCCAACACATCCGGTGCCCATGGCCTCAGTGGAGAGCAAGCAAACCCACCAGACAGAGTGTAGGGGGAAGCTGCCTGCAAAAGGTGAGGGTTGAGCCAGCTATTTTCCAACTATTAAACTAAGAATATGTGCAAACTTGCAAAAGAGTTGGAAGAATAAGGCCATAAACACCCATAAATCCTCCTAAATATTTCTATTGTGCCGCATTTATGCTATTTATTGGCTTGTATGTATATGCATATATATGTAACATTTTCTGAATGACTCAAATGTAAGACGTTTCAGATATTGATAAACACTTTAGCATCACTTCTGATATTCCCCTAAATCTTTATACTATTTTATATCTAAGAAAATTAATAATCATTTCCTAAAAGGTGGTTCATATTCAAATTTTCCCAATGGCCCAAATTTATTTAAAATAAGGATTCAATCCATGGTCATGCATTTGAGGCAGACTGGAAATGCCACTGTCTGAGGGGTTTGCAGGCCTCCTTCTTGGCAGGCTCTGAGGTCACCATAGCACGGCTGAGACCAGTGAGAGCCAGGGAGCCAGGGGCCTTGAAGCTTGCACAGAGGAGTCTGGCTGTGCTGCGGTGGTGCATACAAAATGGGGTGGAGGGGGCAGAGCCAAATTGCGCAAAGCTCCTGGGTGGGTCACTCTTGTTGATGGGTAGCACATAGTGAGGCAGCAGATCCCGTGATGCTCTGGAATAAGGCAGTATCTCTGGAATCTGGCTGTCTGGCCGTCCTGCTCTCCCTCCGTTCCTCCCTCCCTCCTGTGTCCTTAAGAACTTAATCAGACCTGTCCAAGAGCCTCCTGGGGGAGCAGCTGGCACCAGAGACAGAAATAGCTCTAGAAGAAACCTGTGACTATCAGAGCTTTGGTCCTGGCCAGAGTCAGGTATGGAGGGGCTGAGAGGAGAGAGCTCAGAACAGCCTCCCCCGTCCCTCTGAAACCCACGAGGCTCTGAGCCCACAGAACTCAGGACCCAAGTGAGCATCCTACCCAGCCTCTGTCCTGTGACGAAATACCTGCTTCTAGGCCCAATCAGGTCTCCGGGGGGGAGAGGGACCTCACAAAGTTGTCCTTCTCGCTCTGCTCGTTTTCTTCTGGCCTCACCCCACTTGTGGTCAGGAGTGTGTGTGGGGTGTGAGATGTGCTCATCCAGTCATTCCCCCTCCAGATCAGAATGAGGGACTGACACCTGGAATTCCCTGCTGGACAGTTGCTTCCCCAAGAAGGGCCACAAAAAGGGCCACTGGGCATGTGTCTTCCATAGGCCTGATCTCCTGAGAAGGCGAAAACAACAGCCCTGCGGGCACAGACAGCTCCAAGGACGGCTGTTCATGAGGCTGTGGCCGGGCCCTGCATGCAAAGGCCTGGTGGGGGGATGGCGTCCCCACACATGTTTTCAGGGCCTCACAACAGTGTAGGAATGGAGCAGAGGGAAAAGGTGGGAAGAGAAGGGTGTCCAGCTTCCGGCCAGCCACGGACTTTGAGGAAGCCAGGATTCTGAGCGTGAATCTGACTCTCAAAGTTGTTATGAAGGTATATTTGCAAGGAAGGAAGCAGAACATATTTTATTTAACACTTTATAAGCTTCACTTGTAACTTATGCTTAGACATATAAATATAATTTTATAATGTGTTTTAAATGAATATGCATTTATAAAATATGTAATAAATATATATTTGAGAATCATTTATTTTAAATAATTTTACAATGTCTATGTATTTATATTATATATTCATTACTTATAAATATGTAAATATTTATACATGAGGTAGAGCTATGTCTAGGTGAATACAGATGTGTGACGATGGAGCACAGGCTTTCATTAGTAGTAACCACCCGCCCCACTCCCTTTGTAGCTGTGTAGAGTGGGTCCGTTGCTCAGGCCCCCAGTGCCCTGGCCAGGCCTTCAGTGGTCTTGGTGTGGACATGCTGAGCCAGTTTGCCCTGGAGGCAAAGGTGGCCTTGAGCACCTCCTCTTCTTTCTTCACACTTCTCCCAGTCACACGATCACCCTCTGTCACCATGCTGCCTCCTTTGGCTCGAATGCAGACTCAAACTAAGAAGAAAACAAGCTTCTCAGAGAGCAGGGGGTGCCAAAGAGAAATTCCTTGAAGTGGGAGCTGATAGACTTGTAGCCCAGCTCTATTTCTCTCTCTCTCTCTCTCTCTCTCTCTCACACACACACACACACACAAAGATGACTAATGCATATCACGTGGCAACTCTATCTGTCCTTTACTCTGGGATTAATCCAAATCAGTTAGACAATAAGAATTGACCCATATAAGGATGCTCATTGAGCACTCACTGTGGGTCAGACCCTGTGTTGCATGCAAGGTGCTGAAATTGGGGTGCTGAGTGCTGGGAGAATGATACACACATCTGATTTCTCACTCAGAAGAGAAGGAGCCAGGCACACAGGCAATCACAGCCCTGTGACTGAGCCATGATGGGTCAGAAGGGAGTAACCTGGCAGCAGAGACATGCGGCACCGGCTCCTGGCAAGGGAGGTCAGGGAATTAATTCTCCTGAAGGAGGCACAGTGTAAGCTAACAGCTGAGAGGGGTATTTCTCCAAGAACTGGGAGATGGAAAGTGTTCTCATGTGTGCAGAGTCTTGAGAATGAGAGAGTTCATTGTTGAGATCAAGTCCCTGCAGTCTCCTCTGCATCAGGAGTGTCTAGGCAGGAAGAAGTCCATTTCTGCCTGAACCGGGGATGAGGATGGGGTTGAGGGAGAAGAATGTAGAAAGGGAGATGGAGCATCTGGAAGATGCACTTCAGGTTTTCGTTTTGGAGTGGCAGTCAGAGGCACAAATCCACTTCTGACTGGCAATAGAATGTGCTGGAGATGGCAGTTCATTCAGCATCCATCCATCCATCCATCCAACCAAGCATGCACCCATGTAGTCAGTCATTCACCTGCACTGCACAGGACGCTGTGTGAGTATGATAAGTTAGGACCCTGCCTTCACACCTGATGTCCTACTCAGCCAGCCCTTGTGCCCCTTGTACATGGCTGGGCTCTCCACCTCATCCACCTTCTCCATCAGCTCACGCTTCAACCTGCTCATCCACAATGCCTTCTCTGACCCCTTTCGTTATTTAGACTCACGGCTTCTCCCCCATCAATTCCTACTCTCTTCTTCCTTCACCAATCATGGTACCTCCTTCCAGGGATGAGTGATTTTTACTCGTCAAGTCTTAGATCTCCTGGAAAGCAGGCTCCCCAGGGCTTTTATGTTTATATTTGTGTCCCTCCACAGATGTGTGCACAGAGATTGATGAATGAATAAGTGATGAATGAATAGTGGCTAAGTTAGGTTTTTCAGGATGCTGTCAGTCTCATACAGTTTTAAGAGTTCCAGTTATTGGCTGGAGGCATTTGAAAACAAGAGTGTTTCCTGTTTGGTTGACAGAGGATGTAACAATCTGTCTAAGTGTGTGTGTGTGGTGTGTGTGTGTGTACTTTTCCTCTTTAGACTCTGGGGATAAGATTGTGCTCAGCCATACATAGTATGTTTGCTTCTTTGTTTGGAGTTAGTGGAAGTTCAGGAAGCAATTTTTCTGAGGTTCAATCATCAGAATGTTTTAAGGATCATTATTGTGAATGAGCGTATTACTTCTAGGTGGTGCTTATAGTGTGCAAAGTTTATTCACAGCTGCTTCTCACAACAGCCCTATCTTGTCTTACAGAATTCGAAATGATCGCCCAGAGAGGTTAAGTGAACTACAGAAGGCCACACTGCTGCCAGGGCGCAACTCGTCTGCCTCCCCCTTGGTCTCTTGGGTTCTCCCCTAACTGACAAAGGGGCCCAGGGCCTGGGGGGCCATGTCCCTCATCCCGTGGCTCCGATGGAATGAGGCCCCGCCCCGGCTGTCCTCCCGGAGCCCCGCTGAGATGGTGCTGGAGACACTCATGATGGAGCTGACTGGGCAGATGCGAGAGGCAGAAAGGCAGCAGCGTGAGCGCAGCAACGCGGTCAGGAAGATCTGCACCGGTGTTGACTACAGCTGGCTGGCCAGCACACCCCGGCCCACCTACGACCTCAGTCCTGGTGAGCGACTGCAGCTGGAGGATGTCTGCGCCAAGATCCACCCTTCCTACTGTGGGCCTGCCATCCTTAGGTAAGCCCTGGTGCAAGGACAGGGACCAGTTGTTGCATGCTGGCTAGGGGAGGGTGGCTGCAGTGGCAGGGGCCTGAAGTCATCAGGATAGGGCCTAGGGCCTTTCTGTTAGGTACCAGATAGGAAGAGGAACCTGAAAAGTCCCATGGGACACCAGGCCCCGGCCAGAGCTTCAGTGGGAGATGGGAAGAGATTCCTGGAAGGGAATGGGAGACAACAACAAAGGATTGGCAACCACACAGTAACTAGTGACCACACAGTCACAACTATCTGTTCTTCCTTCCTGGATTGTTATTAACCTGGATTTCAACAACTGGCCCCTTCTCCATCATTTATCTTCAGTGTCACCTTCTGAGAGGTTTCTCCAGATAGTCTCTCAAAATTGGTGTCTTAATTATCCTATTTCACACCAGCTTTCACACTAGTTTGCCCAGGGGTGTGTGTGTGTGTGTGTGTGTGTGTGTGTGTGTGTGTGTGTGTGTGTGTGTGTGTGTGTGTGTGGTGTTCAAGCCCTGGGGCACTGAACGTTTAGAGCTTGGGTACAAATATTCCTGAATATAAATGTCACCTTCCCTGAAGCTGTGACCCACCTGGCCCTGTCCTCTTTGGATTGGTGAAGTCAAAGAATTGGATAGTCAGTCCAACAACCAAGAATAATTTCAAAAGAATGCATTAAAAAATTCTCCATAGACTCCCCAAATCTTCTCTTGCCCATCCCTTTAGCTGAGCTAGGCATCTATTTTATACCTTTTTCTTTGAAATTTTCCTTCTCTTTCTTGAGCTCCTCTCTCCTTTGATTTTTGTAGCTTTTTACCCCTCCCTCTTTCTTCCAGGCTGTGAATCTTAGCCTCCCCCATATTTCTGATTCTGTACCACGAAAGTCCCCCAAAAAGATCTACTCCAGAAACACCCAGGGACAGAGTGGGATCCAGGCCCCCCCACTCTCTGTTGATGAGAGGATGGGAGTTGGCAGAGCACACACAAAGTGAAGGAGAGGCTGGGAATGTCCAGAGGTCAATGGTGGTCCTGTCAATTTTCCAGGCTCAGTCACTGCTTAGTTTTCCAAGTCTTGACCCTCAATACAATGGAGCAAACCAGGTATGAAACAACTTGCTAATACTGATCCGTGAGCTCCAAGAGAAGAGCTAAGCAGAGGAAAGAGCTTGGAACACCCAAGGACCCAGGTGTACCCTGGGCCTGTGGGGGCCACATATGATTCATCCTGGTCCTCCTGTGAACCGCCTAACGGTTCATCCACACCCAGAAGGCCACATGGAGCTGTGGAAGTATTGTCACGCGGAAATGACATAATCCTATAGGCATTTCAGGCAGAACAGCCAGGGCAGTGGGCCGAGAAGGGGTGGGAGAGGGCTAGCCAGAAAGCAGTGGGTGCCCCTGAATACTCTGGCACCCACCTCTTCGGTTAGTGTCAGGCTCCCCACCTATGCGAACCCATGAAACCTCGCAGAAAGGCAGCTATGGCCCCCATTGACAGATGAGGAAGCTGAGGTTCACAGGGATCAGAAGTGGCAGAGCTGGGATTTGAACTCAGGATGAGCTGGGGCAATTGCAAGGTGGAGTGGTCCTTGCTTGATTTCAGGAGCAGGCGGCGGCAGGTGCAATGGGAACTGACCTCAGTGGGGGGTGAGGCCAGCCACACGCCGTGCCTGCAGTGGTCCCACCGCTGCCCTCCTCTGCCCAGGTTCCGGCAGCTGCTGGCGGAGCACGAGCCAGAGGTACAGGAGGTGTCCCGGCTGTTCCGCTCGGTGCTGCAGGAGGTCCTGGAGAGGATGAAGCAGGAGGAGGAGGCCCACAAGCTGACGCGCCAGTGGAGCCTGCGGCCGCGCGGCAGCCTGGCCACCTTCAAGACCCGCGCGCGCATCTCGCCCTTCGCCAGCGACATCCGCACCATCTCCGAGGACGTGGAGCGCGACGCGCCGCCGCCGCCCCGCACCTGGAGCATGCCGGAGTTCCGCGCGCCCAAGGCCGACTGACTGAGCCTCCTACAGGAGGGCATGACAGGCCGGTGACTAGGTCTCCCGTCCTGGAACCTCCCACCCATCCCTGACCTGGAGGCCTCATCCCAAGACACTGCTGTACAGTGGAACAAGCTGTCCCCCCCCGACCCAGCAACCCCCACCTTCTTCTGAGCAGGGCTTAGAGCGTAGCGGGGGACCCTCCCTCCCCTGTTGGAGCACCAGCTTCCCTGCCCTGCAGATTCAAAGCTCATGACAGACAAAGCAGGCTCCATCCCCATCTCCCACTTCTGTCTGCAAGAGTTTCTGGCCTCTTTGGCAAGACCTCGCCCATTTTCAAGGATGTCCCATTCACTCCCTCCCTGGATAAAGATAAGGGGCCTGCTGGATGCTGCCCCTCTCTGCTGGTGTCTGGCTGATCTTATCACTGCCTCCTGGGCTGGCCATGCTGACAGGGAGCACAGAAACTACTGAATCCACTCTGTTCACCTTGTGAATGAGGGATTGAGGCTCAGACAGGGAGACACTCCTGCCTTAAACTGCAGCCAGATTCCCACTATTCCTGTAGGAACAGTCTCCACCCCTGAGTCCCTGGATCCTGGTCAATGATGGGACAGGTCCCACAGCTACATCTCCACCTCCTGTAGCTGATCCAGACCTTAACTTGGCATTGGGATCAAATCTTTTCTCCAAGAAAAGTAACTGGGGATGAAGAAGGGTTGCCATTAGTACAGTGTCATCATGTGGGATATTGTTGGTCCCCAACAGCTACTTCTAGAGACTAAGTATCAAGGCTTTCTGACTTGCTGCTCTAGTGCCCAGGTCTTTGAATATCAGGTTCCTTCTGTACCTGGTCACACCTGTTCTCTGGCTTTCCACTAGGAAATGATGCCCAACATTCTCATGCACCTCAGGGCACCTGGGTGAAGTGTTCTCAGTAGCCTCCTACAGGCTTCACTGGCCTGCCATTTTCTAACATGGGCATGTGGATTATTCCACTCATGGATCACCATGGCAAATCTGGAAGCCAAGTGACCTCTCCACACGCCGGGGTAGAAGTGGGGCACGGAGAGGGGGGTAGTATCTGCTGAGCAATTACTAGTGCAGGCTCAGAAACTGAAAGTGGATCTTAGGAATCATCTAAATAAAATGCCAGGAGAAGATAAATCAGTGGGGAAAATCCATATATTCCCTGACCATGCTCAGTGGGAATCCATCCATCCATCCATCTGCCTTTCTTTCCTTCCTTCCCTCCTCTCCCCTCCCCTCCTCCCTTCCTCCCTTCTTCCTTCAGATGAGTCCTCGCTAACCTGTTGCCCAGGCTGGTCTTGGACTTCTAGGCTCAAGTGGCTCTCCTGCTCTGCCTCTTGAGTGCTGAGACTACAGGCAAATTTTTCCTTTTTTAATGATCTGGTTTTGGATTATTTTCACTCAAATCTGGACAGAGAATCATAGGATGGTGGAACCTTACCACCCAACAGTATCAAGATGAAGGAGTCAATTGGCTTATTAACATAATTAGTGGAATGTGAGAATCACTTAAATAAAAATGTACAACACACACATTTTTTATTAAGAGGTATTTAAAAAGTTCACTCAACTGTCAAACTTTGGGTATGGGTTGGCCATACTACTTCTGGATCATGTGTACTTTAATTACTTATGAACAAGTGAGAACAAGTTTTAAAACAAATTGAAGTGACCCCTGGGAAGTGGGGAGGGGCGGCTGGGAGGGGCAGAAGTGTTGAGGGAGAACAAAACAAGGCCTACAAGTCCATAGGTTTGTGGGTGCCCTGGGTGAGGGTCGGCGTGTTGTTTTAGAGGGCCCATGGTGCCATGGTTCACCTGCAAGGAAGTTCAGAGGAGGCTATTTTGGAGAATGTCTGCTATTTTCCTCCTTTCCTATCACCTTATGTGTACCTGTTCTCCCCAAAGAATATGTAGACCTGAAGCTTTCAATGTGGTGCTCTTTTTTTTAAGTTCAAGTGATTGGCTGCTGATGAAATCCATCCCTGCAAAAGTTTTACCATGACAGGCAGAAGGTACCAGTCTCCTCAGACAATCTTGTCCTGTTGCAGTCAGTCTCAGCTGTGACACCTGAAGTTTTCCCTCTGCATTTCGGTTATTAAAAGGGACTAATGTTGTCTGATTCCATTTATGTTTGTTTAAAATTCAGTAACAACAAATAAAGGATCAGAAGAGTGTAAGTGTCTTCTCTTGAGTATCAGACAAGAGGCTGGTGGTGGTGGAGGCAAGGACGCAGCACACTGCTCAGGACTCAGATGGGTGGCTGTTCGTACATAGTTCAACACCACCAGAGGGGTTGGGGGTTGGACCACTAGTTGACTACATTTTGTCTTACTTTGTAATGTTTTTCATTTGTTATGAAAAAGTTCAAACACACAACAAAGTAGATGGAAAAGTTTAAGGAGTCCTCATAAAAGCTCATCACCAAGATTTAATAGTTAGTATTAATATCTTGCCATATTTGAGTTTATCAATGATCAAATTTTTGTCAGATATTTTAATATTAATTCCAGATATCAAGACAGTGGATACTTCACTGTACTGCAAATGAATAAAAATTTTTCTATATAATTACCACTGTCACTTTAACGAAACTAACAGCAACTCCTTAGTATTAACTAATATCCAGCCCGTATTCAAATTATCCTACCTTTCCAGCACATGATTCTTGCAGTTTAATTTTTTGAGCGAGGATTTTTTTTTTTTTTGGCAGTCCTGGGGTTTGAACTCAGAGCTTTGTGAATGAGGATCTTCATCAAGCCTCATGTATTGAGAAGAAAGTTGCAATTTGTTTTATAGTTGGTTGTATAGTGTTATTCAGCTTCACAGTGAAGTACTGTTTAAGGACAATTGTTTGTGGAATATACATGTTGACATAAATAAGTTAATGCCTGCACAAAAATGATGATAATTCTGCCTAAATCTCTTCACTCAGATCCTTGTCAGGGCCATTTGATTAAAATCCTTCCACAGCAGCCAAGATTTTCTAATACTTTGAAAAGTAAGTATAAAAAGTAATGCTAACACTTGATGCTGACATATGTTTGTTATGCTTTGGATATGATGTGTCCCCAAAAGGGTCATGTGTGGAAGGCTTGGTCCCTCCCTAGCTGGTGGTGCTATTGAGATGTGATTGGGCCACAAGAAATCTTCCTTCATCAATGGATTAATTCACTGATGGATTCATAATTTGATGGCATTGTTGGGAAATGATGGGAATTAGGTGAGGCCTGGTTGGAGCACCTCTGATTGCTTGGGGGTATGCATCCTGCTCCTGGCCTCTTCTCTCTCTCCCTCTCTGCTTCCTGGCCACCATGAGGTGAACAGCTCTATTCCACTATGCCCTCTCCACCATGATGCTGTGCCTCACAGCAGTGAGGTCATGTGATCATGGGCTGAAACATCTGAAATTGTGAGTAAAAATTAAATTTTCCTCCTTCTAAGTTGCTTTTCTCAAGTATTTTGTCACAGCAACAGAAAAGCTAAACAATACAATGTGTAATGTGAGTCTTTTCATTTGATGAAAAGTTTTCTAGCACATTTTATTGTGCTTTGCTACATTCTCGTTACAATTCTCTTGCTGGAGCAAATGCAGCATCACGAAGCTCATTCTTCTGCCCCGGCTGGAGCACAGTGCAGGGAGAACTCAGGGAGGGAATGACATTTCAGGAGCAGGTGATTCTTCTTCACCTGAGTTGAATGCTGGGCCAACCACTTGGAAGCCAGTTCTCCACCCCCCGCCACCCCACGCCCCCTAAAAAAACCAAAAAAAACAAACAACTATCAGCCAGGATGGCCGCAGAGTTCAGCTTCTTATTGAACATGTTGCAAAGAGGTTTAGTCAAAAAGACCAAAGCCCATGTCATCATCAGACTCCTCCAACTCTTCCTTCTTTGTTTCTACTTTCTTCCCCTCAGCTGGGGCAGCAATGGTGGAGGGGCAGGACCTCCTGCTAGGGCAGCACCAGCTGCTGGACAGGTTCTCTAGGCCTTACATTATAGAGGAGGCTCCTGATGTTGACATTGGCCAGGGCCTTTGTAAACAGGCCAGGCCAAAATGATTCAATATTCACACCAGTGGCTTTAATGAAAGCACTGATCTTATCCTCTGTGACAGTGACCTCATTGTTGTGCAGGATAGGGTAGGGTAGATGCAGGCAAATTCGGAAATGGAGGCCAAGTGTGGACTGCTAGGTGTGGTGCTAATTGCCAGATGAAGTGAGGGCCTTACCTCAACATGGCCTTAGCCTTCTTGGAAGAACCAAGTACCTTGGTGGCAGCTGAGGAAAGGGCTGAAAGCCACTTTTGACACCTGCTTGGAGCCAGGAGCCTCTGCTAGGCTCTAAGTGTTCAGGATCAAGAACCCAGGGCAGCAGTGGATATAGCTAACATTAGGCTCTCCTTAGTAGAAAGGAAGTAAAGCCATCAGACCAAGAAGCTGCTCTGAAATGTAAAAGGCATGGGAGAAATACAACTTTTCTCCAATAAGCCACCCCTGTAATGTTGCTATGGACAGAGATGATGTCGTCATCAAGAAATGCATTTTTCAACACTGAGTTCTTCTCAGAATTGCTCTAAGATGACTTGGAGGAGGTGGAATTTCCTAAGGGCATCTTTGGCCCTAACGACCGAGGCACGCGTGGCCTCAAAATGAATCCAGATTCTATAATTCCTTATTTTGCCAGTGTCTTCCTTGTTCAATGTAGGCCTTGACAGAGATACTTCTACTTAATAGTTTGACCTTTCTGGAAACCGTTTTTCTGGAGAGACAGATGAAATGACTGGAAATATAGTTGAGCATCACTTAATGTTTTAATTAACCATGGGCCCCACATACAACAGTGGTCCCATAAGATGATAATGGAGGTGAAGATTCTTATCGCCTAGTTTGGTCATTGCCATCGGAACGTGGCAGCATGATGTATTGCTCAGGTTTGAGAGGATGCTGGTGTAAACAAACCCACTGTGCTGCTGGTCGTATAAAAGTAGAGCA